TTAAGCCTCGTGATTGGAGCAAACTAATCGAAAAAGGAGCAAAAAGAGTCAGTCGGGTCCAATATGATTCAGGATTGAGGCAATAAAAGCATAAAAAAGCGTAAAATATCAAACAGCTTAAATGAATTAGCTTTCTGCATTCAACAACTTTGCCCACATTTATTCATCCCATTCTTGCTCTAGCATCTGTGACTCAAAATCAAAAGCTGCTTAGCTGTGCCGACATTCCATGATGTTAAGTAGTAGCAAATTGAAGTAAAAAAACCCTAGAGTTGATTAAAAGCAAAACCCATGCTAACGTAAAATGGTGTCGCAAATGATCAGGAGACTTACGAAGTTGTTTTTCATATCTCTGCAGTGTCATTCCTGATGTGATCGGAATGATAAAATCTGTGTTTTGAAGTCAGCATAACATTTACTTAATCCGCACTTCCAATTTTCTATTTCTGTTGAGGTTACGATCAGAACCAAATGAAGTCAACTAGATTCGATACTAGTTAAGGACCACAAATTTTACCTTAAATTGTTCACTAAATTTGATCTAACTTAAATAAGCACGAGTTATTTATAAATAGTGAAGGTCCCTTGAAGTGCAGATGAATTCTCCCAAGTAAACAGACTCCATAACGTTAGCAAGGAAGATTCCTTGAGCCGATATGCGAAAAGAAATACACGAAACTCTAAAAATATAGAAATATACAAGTGAGGTCTCGTAATACTTCTGTAAAACACCAATGCATACTACCTTAATTGCCTAATAGAACAAATCGGAGTATGTAAATATAAAAAGTAAATTAAGAAGAAATAGGTGATCTAACCTGCAGGCTGGTGGTGCATGCTCACATCGTAGGCAGACATACCAATAATGCCGCCCACATGGTCAATCGAGGCGATATTGGGAGTTTGTCCGTCAGTGGACGAAGATATACGGGACTGCTGGTGATCAAGTGGATGCTGCTGTGGCTGATGTTGGTGCTGCAAAGTACTAGAATGTGAGTGGTGTGAATGTGAATGATGAAGTTGTTGTTGCTGCTGTTGAACGTGAGGATGGTGACCTGTAGTCGTAGGTCCAGACTGTGACGGTAGAGGCTGATGGGATGATCTGTGGTGCCCAGGCGTCTGTGGAGATACGGATATTGTGACTTGTGGATATGTGCAGGTCTCAATAGAAGACCCAACTGGTGCTACAGTAGTAGCACACCCCGTTGACATAAGAAGGCCTCCAGGCGCCTGAGGCCCGGAGCCAGGTGTTAAGGCGAGAGAGGCTGCAATTGATGGCTTCGGCTCCTCACACTTCTCCTCCTCACGACGCTTTAGGCATGCTTGTTTAGGGTTCAGATTACGTTCTGAGCCAGTAGAAACATAAAGATTTATCCAAGTGTATGAGAATGAAGAGAGCAAGTATCGATAGCGATGATGAACGAGGGATGCAAACATGCTCAAAAGTTAAAAAGAGCATTGGGAAATTATGCACAAAATTAGCGATAAAGGATAGAAACAAACCAGTATAAGAAAAAAACGAGAAAATTAAACGACTTTGAGTAAAGATGAGTAATACAAGTCATGAACAAATATCTGAGTGCAATAACGTAGAAACTAGAAGAGAAAAGTAAAGTCTGCCAAAAGGCCAAACGGAACGACGATAGGTGAACAAGAAAACAGGTCAGCATGCTAAGAAAATGAAGAAAATGTGCAAAGCGCCATGCTTAAACCAACGTGAAATATTTGTAAACTTATATTTAAAACTAAGAGAAAAAAACGAAATAGAATGAGTCATTATTCCACGCGATATCGTGCCTCCAAAAAATGTATGCGAGTAAAAGGTCAAAGATCAATAGACATTGTAATGTTCAGTGAAATTTCATTAGGTATATAATAAAATCAACTAATTATTAAGCAATGTTTAATATAAAAAAATGGAATAAATGAATAAAAAGGGAACTCAATGAATACTGGATTATAATTAATTGAAGTAGAATTAAGAAATATCAAAGCCAAACACTCGGGTCTATAAGGATCAAGCAAGAATAGATCGAGATGAAATATGCGAAGGTATCAAGGAAGCTTTCAAAGGGCTTTTGGGGAATAAGTGGTGAAAAATTCAACTAAGATCTAAACCTCAGTGCAATATCCAGTTATTTAATCTCCAATCTAATCTTTTTACAATTAAACTACCGTACCCTTTCTTCCACTGGACTAAATGCTCGCCGTAACCAGAGTCAACCCTCTCTCCTTTGGTGGAATAAAGCCTTTGTACATAAATAAAGATACAGCTGAATTAGTGTCACAAGTAAGTCAGTCGAATTATATCTTGAAATATATCTAAATCATACATTCTTAATCTAGTTGATAATTCGCCTCATGTATTACATGTATATCGGCAAAGATTTAGTTTAGAGCCAGAATATATGAAAAATAAAATAACAAGAGTCAATGTCCTAATCTTTTTACCCTAGTCATTCACTGAATCCTATTGTTTAATGGAGATTACAAAATAAGCGTATCCAGGGTAA